AATTTTTTGGCGGTACTGGGGATTGAACTCATGACCTTGAACTTGCCAGGCAAGCACTTATTCTACTGAGCTATCTCCCCAGCCCTGGCATATTTATTTTAAATGCTCCAAACTTTCCCGAGAAATACAAAAAATAAAATTCTTTATTAGGGAACAAAATTAAGTTCAGTGGTGCTTAATGAGCAGAGACACATTTTTAGAGAACTAGGAGTTCTCATTATTTTAAAGCCTCAAACAAATATATTTTTCAGTGTACTTCAAATATGGTACTGAACCACACAAGTGTAAATTAATTAATACTTAAGTGACATAAAATATAAAAGAAAAGGAACTAATTTCTTTGAGTCCTTAGATTTCTTTAACTTAGTTGTATCTATGTAACACTGGGGCATAACCCTCAGATTTATTACATTCGCAGGAGAAATACTTGGACTTACGAATCTACTAACACTGATCTAATTAACATGTATAAATGTCTCTTTGTTACTGTGTTTGACATTTGGTGACACTGACTCACATAGGTTTATAAAGGACCTTTTACAGTTAAATGGTAGCAATGTTTCATTTCTGATGCTTCACTCAGTAACAGGCTGAGAATATTGCATTATTTAATGGCTTTTAAGTGACCCACAGATGTGAATATAAGCACTAAAGCATGTAACCTATTCCCAGACAATAATTTATCCAACAGCCTGAGACATTAAGCAAGAGTCCAATGTTCTTTTCCTAAACATACCATATTGTTCTAAAAGTTTACCAAACATTTTTAAAAGAACTTATTTATGTCACTGGTTATATAGTCATTTCTAATATTTTTCTATTTTTTTGCATACTTCTAGCATAAAATCAGATCCATAACTACTCTTGAGAAAGAAATTATACTAAGATCAAATAAAAGACAACTTTTTAAATAACAAGATATACTATTGGGTCCCTGAGAAACTTTATAAATGGTTACACAAACCTCAGGTAACTGATTGACTACAGCATCTTGCTGTGATTTGAATTTACATGTGCTTCTTCTTTTCTCCTTCCTCGTTAAATCTGTCTTTGGAGTACTAAGGAGAGAACAGCTGACTATTCATCTGAATAAGCTTTATTAATAAAAACTATTATGCAGGGGGAACTACAACCTGCTAGTAAAACAACCCAGGCTGTCTAGAAACACACTCAAATAATATAATTATGAAAAATCACACTACTATTCTTTTGCTAAGAATGATGGCTAAAAAATTATAAAAATAAGTAATATGGACATTCTTAATTAATTTACCAGTCGAAATGATCGAAGAACTGATAATCCTTCTACGTTTGCCAAGCCAAGTTCCATTAAACTAAGGCTCACAATAAAACCATCAAAAATATTCCAGCCTTCTTGAAAGTAATAATACGGATCCATAGCAATGATCTTGAGAAACATTTCTGCAGTGAAGATCCCAGTGAAAACCTATGAAAAATGCAATTTATTCAATATGTGAATAACCTTGAAACATACATAATTGTTGTGCAATTTAATTTACTCAAGGAAAATCAAAATTAAAATCAAATTTTTTATAAGTATTTTCTTTTTAAAAAAATTAGTTTACATTCTTTATTTGTGTGTGTGTGTG